TTCTTCTCAGAGTCAGCCACAGTTTGTTATGATCTACACAGTCAAATGCCTTTGCATAGTCAATGAAGCACAGATAGACATTCCTCTGGTATAATTCATTTAGTGAAAATTACACCATAATATTAACAGTTTCCAGCTGTGCTTCAAGAGACAGAAGCAGTAATGTGAATTCCTCTCAACAAGGCTAGCGTTTTCATTTTTCCAAAGGAATATTTTTAATGGGATTACTGACTCTTTTAATACTCTTGTAAAGAAAGTGAATCCCATGAGCATTCTGCCTTATAACTAGTATAAAAAATAAACAGACCAACCATTGAATGCAGTAATGGACTTAGAAACTAAGCTTACCAACAAAAACATACAAAAGTATGCCTGGTGATAACCATGTTAACAGAAAAAAGAGTGCACTACAAAGCAACCAAACAGACTGGGACCAATGAAGGGCCAGGAGGAGGAAAGGGGACTTTGAAGAAAGAGTTTTCATGTCTTTCTCAAAGGGAATTAACTGCACCCACTTTGATTAATTCTGCTGGCTATCCCTCAACACAGATGGACCCCAAGGCCCTGTTTGGTTTTTCAGAAGGTATTTAAATGTTTCAGGGGATTTAAAAAAAAAAAGACTCTTACTGATTGAAAATATATTTTTGTACTCACAATTCTTTTTGTGTTAAGAGGGATTTTTTTTTAGGTCATTAGTTTATAATGTGAACTGGTGCCTAGGGATATTTTGAAGGGAAAAATAAAACAGAACTACTGTGTTTGGAGATGCAGTTTATGTGACTTGTGTAATCATTTCTTTCAGCTCCATTTAAGGCTAAATTTGCCCTCAAAAATGAAGTCATCACATCTGCAACAGCTGTTTCTTCGCATAGTCACTGTATTATCAAAAATAAGGATAATACAAGAATCTTAAAAAAGAGGAGAGCTTTATCCTCAAAAGCAAGTACGCTGTAACCTCCTTAGAACTTCCATGCACTTTTAAGAGCCTAGTGGTAACCTAGGGAACTCAGGTGGCCTAGAGGTAAGTAGCTGTGCTCCAGTCTCGAAGACATGCGGTTCAAATCCACCAGTGCTGCAAGGGAGAAAAATGGGTAATCTCCTCCCATCAGATTAAACTGCCTCTGAAAACCTACTGGAGCATTAACTATGGGTCATTTCAGACTCAACGGTACACAAGTGGTGGCCTAGAAGCTGCACTGCAGTCCCAAAGCCTCTCAATTCTAATCCACCAGCTACTATGTGGGAGAAGGAAAGCCAGTCTCCTAGAAACTGCCTCTGAAAAACTCCTGGAGCATCAGCTCTGGGTCTATTCTTACTGGATGATACACAACAAAAACAATGTTTGTTTAAGTATAAACAAAATCACAGGCCTTTATGATATTTCCACTATAATTCAGATAAAACAGTTTATCATAACTTTTCCTTTTCTTTGTAATAAGTACCTTTTTTCTTTCTCTTTTGTTTAGGAAAAATAAATCATGACTTAAAAATCACAGTCAAGTTTCTTAAGAATGTCATGACCTGGTTATAATGAAACACCCTCTTCTCATCACCAGAGAAAAGCTATTTACAATACCGTGATTACAAAACTTGAGTCCAATGTGTAAGGTGGACTCAGGTATCAAAAGGCTTATGTTCCAAAAGCATTCCAGGAGATCTGGTGGGAAGCTAGCGGGGAAGCAATGGTCTCATAAATGAGGCTCAATAACTAAGATGGAAAACAAGCTAAATGGTAATTCTGGGACAGAACAGAGAACAAAGATCGCACCCCAAACAAAAGCCACAACATAAGAAGACGGGGTCTACACATATTCTTGAATTATATGGAGGCCAGAGACTGGGGCAAACTAGCAAAGTCATGATGGGAATGTAGAGAGTGGAACAATGGCTCTGAACTCTACTGAAATAAGGACACTCTGACCTTAGGTTACAGATTTTCTGATTTAATCAACAGACAGCAAAAATCAAGATATTTATGTAAAGTTTTACAACTTTTCAATGTTGTCTCAATTAAGTAACAACACTATGTGAGTCATAAAAATCATAATGATATTTACATATAGATTTGACTTTTAGACCAAATCATCACTTCTGGCCAAAAGGTTACTTTTCTCCTAGAGAAAGTACAGCATATAATAAAAAATAACAATGGTAATACTTAATGTGCATTAAGCTTTTATTATATGTTAGTCACTATGCTAAATTTACATTAATTTTCTTAATTATCATTGATAATTGAGGACTGATAGAATGAGAATCCCAGAGCAATTGATTGTGCTTATGCAAACCCTATACTTGGACCAGGAAGCAGTTGTCAGAAGAGAGCAAGGAAACACTGCATTGTTCAAAATCAGGAAAGGTGTATGCCCAGGATGCATTCTTTCAATCTATATACAGCACAGATTATCCGAGAGGCTGGACTCAATGAGGAGAAAAGTGGCATCAGGATTGGAGGCAGACTCATCAACAATCCGTATTGTGCAGATGACACAACCCTGCTTGCTGAAACTGGGCAGGACCTGAAGCATCTGCTGCAAAATGTCAAGGACTGCAGCATTCAATATGGATTGAGGCTCAATATCAAGAAGACAAAGATTCTCACCACTGGGCCGACTGGCAGCATCATGACTAATGATGAAGAGATTGAGATTGCACAGCTTTAGTTTGCTTGGTTCCTCGGAGGCAAGGATGATGAGACTGTCTCACATATTTTGCACGTTATCAGGTGGGGCTAGTCACTGGAAAAGGACATCATACTTGGAAAACAGAGTCAGCAAAAGAGAGGAAGCCCCTCCATCAGTGAGATGGACCAGCCCAGTGATTTCAATGAGGGGTTTGACGCACCATGAAGCCTGTGAAGATGGCGCAGGGCTGGGCAAGGTTTGGATCTACTGTCTATGAGTCAGAATCAACCTGATGGCCCCTAACAACATAACAATAATTATGATCTACCTCTTTGCTCAGTGACACAAAGAGGTCAGACAACCTCCCTGAGGTCACACAGCCAGGCAATGGCAAGGCCAGGATCCAAGGATGTGCAGCACAACTCCTCAGCCCGAATCACATTTATCTGAAAGGCTCTAACCGTGCTTTCAGCATGAGGCACTTGTGCCACCCTACTAGGTAAGGAATTGTGCTACCAACGCACAGGCAGGAGGCTCGAACCCACCAGTTATTTCACTTCCACCAAACGAAAATTCAGGCTCTGAGAGAGAAAGATGTGCAATCTCCTCCTGCGTGATTTACTGCCTCTGTAAACCTGCTGGAGTCGGCTATTAGTACTGACTCGACAGCAGTTAAGTTTGAGTTTTGAGAGTTGGCTTTTGTAGTTGGGTCTCTCTAAAAACAAAATGAAAAAAGTTCATCAAAATAATTTTTCAAGTTCTTTCTAGTCCCAAGCTCCATAATGCAATTTTTGTTTATATAAAAATACTAATACATGTATCCCCTACTAAGAACTGCCTGCTCAAAGAGAAAAGAACAGGTATTCATTAAAAACTCTTAAAAGATAGTGATACATAATCTTATCTCTATTCTAGAGAAAATGTATGCTTCCATTTTACCTTTTGAAAGATGAGTAAAAGTGTTCAGAAATTCTTCATATGTTTGCTCATGGCAATTAATAAACTTATCCAAGACGTCTAAAGTTAACCGATCTTCATCCATAGTTTCCAATTCCTGCATTTGGGCTGGCATTTCTCTCAAGAGACTTTATCTATGAGACAAAGAAAAACATTGGCTGAGTCACACAATCCCTGTGAAAATACTCTGGATGGGCAAGTGACGAATTCCAATGCCCCCAAAAGACAGAGCAGGACAGAGTTGGCAGAACGATGAATACTTGTCTAAGGAACCAGAGTGTCACTCATCTCTGATGAATTGTTAACTATCACTATATTATTTTTCACTTTTCTCATTGCCATCTTCTTAAATCATAGGACTAATGTCATGTTGTTACTGCTGTTATGTGCTGTTGAGTCACAACTCATAGTGACCCTATGTACAACAGCTTTGAACCCTGCTCTATCCTGAGCTAACCTTATTGTCTCTGATACACCTACGCCCATTACCCCAGTCACTGAATCAATCCATCTCATTGAGGGTCTTATTCTCCTCCGCTGCCCTTCCACCCTCCCAAGCATGATGTCCCTCTCCAAGGACTGGTCCCTCCTTGGAACATGTCCAAAGTATATCAGACAAAGCTTCAGAATCCTTGCCTCCAAGGAGCAGCCTGGTTTCACCCTCTCTATGATGAACCTGTTTGTTCTCCTAGCAGAGCATGGTATATTCAATACTTTCTTCCAGCATCACAGCTCAAAGGCATCAATTCTCCTTCTATCATCCCTAGTCACAGTCTTGCTTTCTGATGCATAGCAGTATAAGAAGACAATAGCCTGGATCAGTTGCACCTTAGTCTCCAGACATCGTTACTCTTCAATACTCTGGAGAGGTCCCTGACAGCAGACTTTCCCAATGCAATTCGTCTTTTGATTTCCTGGCTGCTGGTACCAGGAGTGTTGACTGTGAAGCCAAGCAAAGAGAAGCTGTGAACCATCTCAATGCTTTTATAACTGCATAATTAGTCTTTCAAGTGATATTAGTCATGAGCATTCTGGCCTTTACCTACATAAAGACCTGTGATGACTAGAACCCTCCAACTTTAACACTGGCATCACCTAAAGATCTCTGTCTTCTTATAACTGATGTGGAATTGACTAATAGGTGATCCTCCAGAGGGTTTTCAAAGGCTGTAAACTGTACAGGAGAATGCCACTCTAATACTTCATAGGAGATGGAAGATTTGAACAGATTGCCTTTGGGTTGACAGTGCAACTCCTTATCTCCTAGGCCACCAGAGCTCCCTTGACCTAAAGTTTAATCACAGTAATTCCTCATGTGTTACAAGCCAGTGTTAGAAAGGGCTTGGGGGGGGGGGGGGAATGCACCTGAGCACCAACTTATAATGGAAGAGAACATTACAAGCTATTTATACCTGAAAACTGTATACAGCTGGGGGAAACTGAGGCATCACTAATGCAAGGCCTAACAAATTATGCTTGCAGCTGCTAGATAATAAATATATAATGGCAGACTCAAAAGTAGCTATTATTTCCCTTTCAGTGGGAAAGTACTTCATCATAAGACCATCAATGTCAGTATGCTTTTCCAGACCTCTGAAAAATCCTAGCAATGTATTTTATCCATCTCATCCTCAAACCACTGCTGGTAATCTATTTCAGCAAACTTGTTCCAAACAGAGTAAGTCAGGCTGTGCTTATCCCATAAGTCTTTGCTTGAATGCTTTAAGAATAATAGAAATTCCTTTAAACTTCATTTCTAAATCTCAAATTGCTATATTCGAATGAGTACTTATCCCTAACACTAGTATATTATCTCACTAGTATAAAAGGAAAATAAATTCCTACACTTCGCTTGCTATTTCTTTATCTGATATTTACTGTTTACAATAATGGGAACTTTTAGCCAATTATTTTGCACAATCCTGACTGATTCCAAGGTGCAAGGGCTGATTAACTGTGATGGTTAAAGCTGGTGGGAACTTAACTGGTCCAAAATTCTTAGTGCTATGGCAGTCGTGTAATGATACAATTTGACAGTTATACAAGGATGAAATTTGGCAGTTAGTAATCCTATCTATTTGGCAATTATGTAATTATGTAAATTGGCAGATATTTAATGATACAGTCATCCTACATTTGTGAATAAGGGCTGGTAATCCTTCATTTCCTCGTAAAGCCCTTTTTATATAACTTGGCCTTCTAAATCTAGGCATGTTGACAAGCGCTGTTGCTGTTCAGTGGCCTCATGTTCACTATGACTCACAGCAACCCTACAGATAATGAATCTGAACTTTTCCTCCCTTGTGTCATCTTCATCATCTCTGACATACTTGAGCTCAATGTTACAGTCACTGTGCCAATCCATTTCATTGAGGACTTCCCTCTCTTTCACTGACCCTCCATATTTCCAAGTAGGATGTCCTTTTGCAAGGACTGACCCCTCCTAATGACATGTGCAAACAATGTGAAATGACGTTTAACCATCCTTGCCTCCAAGGAGCACCCTGGCTGCACCTCCTCCAAACATATGTAATCTTCTCCAACACAACAACTCAAAGGGGGCCCATTCTTTTTCTGCATCCTTTATTTATTGTTCCATTTTTAGATGGCTGGCATCATTGCTCCTGCATCTCAGAGAGGTCCCTCACAGCAGATTTACACAACACAAGGCACCTTTTGAGTTCTTGAGTGCTGGTGCCAAGGGTAGTCATAGTGGATCCAAGCAAGATTAAATCATTGACAGTTTCAATGTTTTCTACATCTACCATGATACTGCTGATTGGGCACGTGGTAAGGAATTCTGTCTTCTTGATGTTGAAATGTAATCCATATTTAAGGCTGTAGTCTTTGGTTTTCTGCAACAAGTGTTTCAGGTCCTCTTCACTTTAGGCAAGCAACGTTGGGTCCTCTGAGTAATGTAGGTTGTTAATGAGTCTCCCTCTGATCCTGATACCACATTCTTCATAAAGTCCAGCTTCTCAAATAGATTTGATTAGCATACAGACTGAATAGGTACGGAGAAAGGATACAGCCCTGACGCACACCATTCTTGATTTTAAAACATGCAGTGCTCCTTCTCTCTGAACTACAGCTTCTTGGTCTAATTATAGGTTTCACAGAAGCACAATTAGGCGTTTTGGGATTCCCATTCTTGTCAATATTCATCATAATTTGTTATGATCTACACAGTTAAATGCCTTCAAATAATCAACAAAATACAAATAAACATCCGTCTGATAATCTCTGCTTGCAGCCACGATCCATCTAACATCAGCAGTGATATCCCTTATCATTTAGAAGAGGCTATAGCCCTACTAAGAGGCTATGTTGTTGTTGTTGTTGTTGTTGTTGTTGTTGTTTAATGCCGTCGCGTCGTAGACGACTCATAGCGACCCTATGAACGAACAGCGCCTGAGCACTGTTCGTACATAGAGTTTCCAGATGCAAGCCATTTTGGAAGTGGATGCCGCTCCTGCTTCCAGACTAAGAGGCTATAGACTCTTCTAAATCTAGCTTGAGTTTCTATAAATTCTCTATTGGTATACTGTTCCAGCCATTTTTGGATTGTTGCTGTTGTTATGTGCTGTCAAGTCACCTGTGACTCAAAGGACCTTAAGTATAACATCTCTGAACCCAGCTCTAACCTGAGCCAAACTTATTGTCTCTGGTACATCTACTGCCATTACCTCAGTCACCGAGTCAATCCATCTTACCAAGGTCTTCTTTACCTGTGCTGTCCCTCCAACCTTCCAAGCATAAAGTCCCTCTCCAAGGACTGGACCCCTCCTTGCAACATGCCCAACGTATGTTAAATGGAGCTGCAGAATCCTTGCCTTCAAGGAGTATCCTGGTTTTACTCTCTCCAGGCCAAACCTCTTTGTTCTCTTAGCAGTCCATGGTATAGTCAATACTCTTCTCCAGCACCACAGCTTAAAGACATCAATTCCCCTTCTATCATCTCTAGTCATTCTCCGGTTTTCTGATGCATAGCAAGTAATTGTGAAGACCATGGCTTAGATCAGGCATACCGTAATCTCCAAAGTGACATCGTTGCTCTTCAGTACTCTGGAGAGGTTCCTGACAGCAGACTTTCCCAATGCAATTCATCTTTTGATTTCCTGACTGCTGGAACCAAGAGGGTTGACTGTGGAGCCAAGTAATATTTTAATTACATGTGATATTAAGGATGTTGTTCAATAAATTTCACATTCTGTTAGATCACCTTTTGGGGACTTGAGCCTGCCTGAGTTTCAGCTGCACCTGGAGCAGTATAGAGCCTCCCTTAGCTGTGATATATGTAGGTTTATTTATATGGCTTGCTTATCTGTCAGTTTGTAATACTGGGAGAATGATTTGCATACTGCTATTTTATAACTTAGGTATCTATGGAAGCTGGACTGGCAACCACTTCCATAATAGCTTGCCTCTGGAAACCCTATGAACCTAGACAAAGGACGAAAGTTATACAGGTGTCCAGGTCTTTCATTTATAGGATCGCTATGAGTCACCAATGACTCGACGGCACTTAAAACAACAACAGGTATGTATATGCTTGCTTGCTTATAATTTTCTCTTATGAGTACAGCATTTGTCTGTCAGTACTGGGTGTGACCTGACTTCTAAAACAGACTAGAAAGCAGAAATGATCATCCACTTTTGAAATAGCAGCCCTTTGAAAACCCTATGGAAATAGAAGAACATGGTTAGATATAGTACTGAAGGTAAATCTCAGAATGGAAGTCATTCACAATGAAGGGAAAAACAGCTGTAAACATCCACTAATAACTGGAACATGCAATATATGAAGTATAAATCTAGGGAAACTGGAGGTTGTAAAAAATTAAATGGAATGCATAATATCAATATTCTAGGCATTAGTGAGCCAAGATAGATTGGTACTGGCCTCTCAGACAATCATATGATCTATTATTCCAGGAATTAAAAACTGAGGAAGAATGGTGTTGCATTCATAGTCAAACAGCCCATTTCATGATCCAATACTGTCCATATGTGTGCAAGGAAGACCTGTTAATACAACTGTTATTCAAATATATGCACCAGCAACTAAAGTCAAAGAGGAAGAAATTGAGAATTTCTATCAACTTTTGCAGTCTG